CTCTCGGCGCTGCGCCCGCCATGCGCCGCCTCCCCAGACGCGCCGGCCGACAAACCCGACGGCGCAGCAGCAGCGGCTGCGCTGTCATCCTCGTCGCGTGTACTTGTCCTGGAGTACGTGAAAGAGCTGTCTGATGGCTACGAGCTGCTGCAGCTGCTCAGGGAGTTCGACATCCCCCTGCTGCAGGTGCGGCTTTGCAGAGGTGGGGCGTCCCCCCCTGCTACCCTTTGACGGCGGCCGTCGCAGGATTGAGGGTTGAGGGTTGAGATCGCCGCTGACCGCTACAATGGCTCTTACGCCTGCGCTGCCCAGCCTGTCGCCGCTTGCTGCGTGATGCCCTTGTTGCAGAAAGGTACAGGTGGTGCAGATGTACATCTGCAACCCCTGCAAATGCACTTGCGGGCACGCGTCGCCCCCTCACGCAGGTGCTGCTCATAACCCCAGAGGGCGTATCGCGGGACGCACTGCGCCGCCTGAGGCTGCTCAAGGAGTCGGCGCTGACGTCAGCCGTGCGTGATCAGGAGCGGCTGGTGGAGCAGCGCCAAGCAAAGTGAGAGCGCTCGCGGCCAAAGTCATGCATGTGCGCCACGCTCAACGGTCTTCTTTGGTCATGCTTCCTGGCAAGTGCCAACAAGGTGCAAGGCACAAGGCATGCGTATCTCATCAGGCTGTCCAACCTACAGATAAGTGCGCACGCACTTGTGCAGCGCAGCTCATGACAGCCAGCGTAGCACAGCAACATGCCTCAGAGTAAAGGCACGCACCTCCTTGATGCACGATGCATTGATGCCCCCAACGCCACCATGCAACACGCAGGTGGGAGGCCAACGCGGCACCTCTGATCGAGCTCTTCTCCTCCCTTGGCATGCTGTCAGAGGTCTTCGCACCCAGCCCCAAGCAGCTCCCCACTGGACTACTGACCACAATCGGCTACGGCCAGGCCCCACCCCCAGGCGCCACCAGCCCGCCCTCGCCGCTGGACGCGGGCGGTTGGATGGCGCGCGCCGGGTGGCGCGCCGGCTGCCGCGGCGGGTCGCTGATGCCGGGGCTCTTTGCACTGCCTGTCAAGCCCGTCACGTCGCGGCGCCTAGTGTCCGACGCAGCCGAGCGCCGCGCCGCCCTCAAGGCCGCCGCGGCCAGCAGCGGCCTACGAGGCCTCGCGGATGGCTCTTTCTGCCTGCCTGCGCCACGCCGCGCGGTGGCGTGCGCCGCGGACGCGGTGTGGGCGGCGGCACCGGGGCGCTACCTCGTGTCCCGCAAGGCGGACGGCACGCGGCACCTGCTGATTGCGGCGGGCGAAGGGGGGGTATACCTGCTCAATCGCGCGGGGACGCTCTACCGCCACCCGCTGGTGCTCGGCCGCCGCAGCCGCGACACGGCCAGCCGCGGCAGCGGCTACGACGGCGCAGGTGACAGCAGCAGCAGTCCCGGGGCCAGCAGCAGCAGCGGCAGCGGCAGCGGCAGCGGCAGCGGCAGCGGCAGCGGCAGCGGCAGCGGCAGCGGCAGCGGCAGCGGCAGCGGCAGCGGCAGCGGCAGCGGCAGCGGCGGCTGCGAAAGCCTGGAGCTGCCGCCCGGCACGATCCTTGACGGCGAGCTGCTGTGGTCCGGCCCGCCCAGCGCCCGCCGCGGCTTCTTCCTTGCGTTTGACGCCCTCAGCCTCGGCGACGGCACGCCGGCGCCCCGCCTCTGGTCGCAGCCCCTGGCCGAGCGGCTGGCGGTGCTGGAGCAGCTGGGACTCGTCGAAGCGGAAGCTAACGCACAGCTGCGGGCGGCAGCGGCAGCGGCGGCGTGCTACAAGGGCCCTGATGCGGCCGCTGCGGCTCCAACGGGGCCGAACGGGCGGCCGCATGACTGCTGGCTGAGCTGGCCGGGCCTGGCCTCGAAGCAGCTGGCGGCAGACGGCGGCGGCCCCGTGCTGCTGCTGCGCAAGCAGCATCACGAGGTGACCGCGGCCACGATCCGCCAACTGCAGGCCACCGCAGACACGTGCCCCTACCCCTCCGACGGCCTGGTGTTCACGCCAGCCGCCTGCCCGTACGTGCTGGGCATGGCCGAGCTGATGCTGAGGTGGCAGCCGTCGGCCCGCGCGGGCGCGGAGCTCACAGGGGCAGACCTGGTGCGGCATATCATGCGCGAGGGCACAGCGGGCGCCGCTGCTGTGATCGATTGGCTGTGCGCCGGCAGCGCCCAGGCGTCTGCGGCGCTGGTCAAGCTTTCACGGACGCTGTACGACCCGAAGCCGATTCCGCGCCGCTCTGGGCGCCGGGCCTCCTTCATGCCAGCCCAAGCGTCGATGTCAGAAGCTACAGCCAAGGCACGCGTCGCTGAAGACGCCTTCAAGCTGCTGCCGCGCGCCCTCGTTTATGAGTTCGTGCGCGTGGCGGTGTCCCCGCCTGGGCCACCAGCCGGCTCGAGGGCGGCGCGGCGAGGGCTGGCGGCCGCGGCCCCACGCCGCACCCTATGGGTGCCGACCTGCGTGCGGTGGGACAGGCAACGCGGCAGCGCGGCAGCAGTTGTGACGCGGATGGAGAAGGAGAGCCCAGCCACGTGCTTCGACCTGGATCAACTCGCGGCCGCGATTGAGGAAGCCGAGGGGCAGCGGGCGCAGGCCCAGCAGAAGCAACAGCAGCAGCAGCAGCAGCAGCAGCAGCCGCCTGCTGACCAGCAGCTGACGGCGGCTCCCAGCGCCATGGTGCACCCGGCGCGGGCGGTGCCGTTTGAGGAGCTGGCCGCGGCGGTGGCTGCCGAGGTCGCGGCCGGGCGGGTGGAAGAAACGGTGGATGCGGCGACAGGCCTCCACGTCTTCAGCTACCTTATCCGCGACGACAACCAGGGCGCCGACAGCCAGCAGGGAGCCGACAGCAAGAGTGCCGACGGTAGCCCAAGCGAGGGCGTCCGCACGATAGGCGGCGCCCCTGTTGCAGCGGTCTGCCGCGGCCTGGTGCTGCACCCCGCCACGCGCGCCGTCGTCGCGGCGCCGTTTGTGCGCTTCGGCGACGTCGACGGCAGGGCGTGCGGCGCGGGTGGCGGCTGGGGCCGGGACGACGCCGCCGCGAGCGCGAGCCTCAAGGTTGATGGCTCCCTGGCTGTGGCCTTCCTTTGGGGCGGCCAGGTGCACGCCTGCACGCGGCGGCGCATGGATTCGGAGCAGGTGGGCATGAGTGCCGAGTGCGGGAGAGTCGTGGGTCAGGCGCTGTTGATGAGGGGCAGGGGCGTGGGTGACTATCTGGGGCGCATTTGTCAGCTCTCAGCTACTGCGCCCGGCGTTTCCCATTGAGATTGCGACAGATGCCAGAAGTGCTGTCGCTAGCCAAACCCCACGATTTCAACCCATCCCCAAATTTCTTCACTCGCCATGTAGGCGCTGTGGGCGCGGGACTGGCTGCGCGCCAACGCGCCCGCCGGCGCCTTTGAGCCCGGCTGGACCTACATGCTTGAGGCAGTCTACCGGAACAACACCCACGTGGTCGCCTACGACTTTGAGGGGCTGGTGCTCCTGGCCGCCACAGACCCAGCCGGCCGAGAGGTCCCCGGCGGCGCTCCGCTGCAGGCGCTCGCGCGCCGCCTGGGCGTCATGGCTGCGCCACGCGTCGAGGGGCGCTGGGCCGAGCTGCAAGCCTGGCTGGGCGGCGGCGGTGGCGGCGGCGGCGGCGGCGGCACCAGGGGCGCGGCGGGCTACGCTGACTCAGAGGGGTGGGTGCTACAGGAGGCATTGAGCGGGCGGCGCGCCAAGCTCGTGTTTGAGGGCTACAAGGCCGCCGCGCGGGCCGGCCGCCTGCTGCACCCGCTCACCTTTTGGGACGCCGTCCGCAACGTCGGCGTGCGGTCGCCCGCGGCGCTCGCCGCGCGGCTCATGGGGGCGGGGGGCCCGGCGGGTTCGGCCGCGCCTTGCAGGGCCGGGGGCAGTGACAGCGGCAGTGGGGATGAGGGGTGGGCCGACCAGCAGTGCGGGCCCCGGCTGCCGCCACACTTCCACGAGGAGCTGACGGGAATGCTGGACGCCATGCTGACCGCCTACGACCGCGCCCGGCGCGAGCTGCGGTGCGCCGTCCGCAGCGCTCAGCAGGGCGGCTGCGGCGGCGATGGCGGGCCGGCGGCGGCGGCGCCGCCGCCGCGGCTGCGGGTTCTGCTTGCTGAGCTGGCGGGCGGCCAGCACGTGGAGGACAGGCCCACAGCGGAGCGCGAGCTGTCAGGCCTGCTGGCTGCCCTAACACTCAGCGATGACTCATCACCGCTCTCGAAGGGCGGCCGCGGCGAAGAGGCGAGGCGCGGCGGGGAGGGCGCCAGCGCAGGGGAGAGCGGACGCGGTGACGAGGACAGGCGCAGCGGTGAGAGCGCCACCGTGGCCGGGGCAGGATTTCTGGCAGAGCCAGTGCAGCCACAGATTTTGGAGCAGGGGGATGAGGACAGGCAGCGACGCGAGCAGCTGCATGGCAGCCCCGCGTTCCGCGCGGCGCTGGCGTACGCGCTGCAGCGCATGGAAGGCGGCGGCGCGGGCGGCGGCGGCAGCGACAGCAAAGGGGACGACCCCTTTGACGTGGGAACGTTCAGGTCGCCAGGGTGGACAAGGGGCTTTTGGGGCTCTTCCATCAGCCGCTACGAGGGCGCCGCCAGCAGGGGGCTGCCGCTGCTGCGCGGACTGATCTTGAACTGCATACGCCCCTCGGCCGCCGGCGCCCTGCCCGGCTACCGCCCCTCCGGCAGCTTCGCTCAGACATACGCCAAGGGCTGGGCGCGTGGCGGCCCCGCCGACGCGCGCACGCGCGCGGTGGAGGAGCAGGCGCAGGCGGGCGTCGGCGAGGCGCTGCGCGCCGCATTCGTGAACGCGGCGCTGGGCGGGGCCGAGCTTGCGCGGGCTGCTGCGGTGTGCCGCGGGTGGCGTGACGAGATTGCGGGCAGCGATGCAGCAGCCGCCAAGGTGGCCGCTGCGCGGGAAGCAACCCCCTGGCCATACCGCAGGAGCCTCAACGACTTTGGCTGGATTCTAGCAGCGAATCCGAGGGCTACACTGGTTTTGCGCATGTGCGGTACGGCTCCTTCTGACGTGTGCCTCAGCAACAGCACACGCAACCTTGCTGCCCCGTGCCACGCACGTAATGCATCACGTGTATGTAGCCGTCGCAGCTACTGCCACGAGCAGCACACTGCCGGTTCTGATGCGTTGGGGGTTGTCGAGTGGGCCTCACGCTTTGCTCTGTGCTGAGCGCGCTGCTGGAGTTGGATACAAAGGCAAGCCAGTGTTTAGTGACCCGCCAAGCTGATGATTTGTACTAGGATGAGTTGTTTGTTGTACATGGAGGAGTTGAGTAGTAGTAAGATCCTGCATTTACATTACCTGTCTTGCACACTTGCATATTTTGTGGGATGCCAGGTCCTCAGTAGTGCAGGGGCACACTCTCTGGGGAATGCAGGGCAGCACGAGTCAGGACACATCAAGAACCAGGCTAACATGGGGGCCACAACTTGACAGCGTAGCATTCAGCCAATGAAGGATGCCAGAAACAGGAGGCTGCAGGTACACAGCTGCGATATGGAGTGCACAAAGACTCCACGAAGACGAGCGGTTTGCAAGGGGCCTTGGCAGCTGCTTGGTGGTTTGCAATTTGACCGCCGAGCCGCGCCGGGTTTGGCGTGCACGTTTCATGCAGCCAGCATCTCCTGTGTGACAGGCGCGCCCCGCCGCAGCTGGCCGCTGTCTATGATGAACGCGCCGTCGTCGGCGTTGGCGGTGTTGTCGGGCTTGCCCTTGGCCAGCGCGTTGACCGCCTTGACCACCTGTTGTGACCCAAAACAGCCGCCAACGGAAGGGGTTGGCGAGGTTCGAGAGGAGGTGCCAGCTTGCGCAACGGAGGGGAGCCCTGGCAGCATTTATACCTTAACAGTGGGATTGATGACAACGAAACCTGGGTTAAAAACCAAAAGCCAACACATCAATTGCCGCACGTGTGACACAGTGCTGCCATGCAGCCCCATGCTTGCACAGTGAGGTGGTCACCTTCAGGCCGGTCACCACTTCTCCAAAGATGGTGTAGGACCCGTCCAAGTGGCTGTGAGGCAAGAACATGAGCAATTGACGAAGGAGGAGGCAGGAAGGGCTGAATTGATGTATATGAGCAGCGGCATGCATCATCTGGAGTGCAGCTGGCGTACACGATCCTACTATATCCCCGGACCAGCACCAGTACAGCATCAGCAGCCACAATTGCTGTTGATCCACCCGGCGCTTTTGTCACGCCCCAGCAAAGCAAAAGCCGCACCTGGCAGGTCCCAGCATGATTGAGAAGTGGGCCGTGTTGGTGTTGGGCCCCGCGTTGGCCATTGACAACAGGCCTATTCTGTCGTGCTTCAGCCTCAGGCCGGCCGCGTCGTCCTTAAATTCACCTCCAAACACAGAGTCCACGTCAACACCACTCTGGTCTGCGCAGAATGGAATTGCAGGGGTGATGGCGTGCACACAAAGTGAGGCATCGGGTCAACAGTCAAAGCGGGGTCCTGTGAGAGTGCCAGCAAATCGAGCTGTTGCTTGCATTGAATGTTGGCTGCCAGACCGTCCAAATGCAGCCACAGGCCTTGGGTGGATTGAGCCGCGCTGAAGGTCCCCGCCGCACACCTATGAACCCGTCAATTATGCGATAGAAGGGCCGGCCCTGAAGTAGTTGGGGTTGGTGAGTGGGTGGGTTGAAACAAGGCGCTCTGAAGGCGAGCGAAGCGCTGTGTGTAAATCTGTGCGTTTGAGTGCCTCCGAATAAGCTCACAATTTAGATTCGCAGGTTCGAGGGCAGGCTGCAGCATCAGCCGACCAGGGTATTCTGAGGGACAGCCCACAAGCATGGCGCGTGCAGTCTCTAGCTCGGCGATTCCGCCGCAGCGCACCTTGAAATGGTAGGGACGCCCAGCACCCTCGTGGCCAGGTTTTGCAATGCCGTGCTCCCCTGGGGGCAGAGGGCATCCCAGGGCGGGAGGGTTTCGGTACACATCAGCGGGGCTCAGCCGAACAAGCGGAGAGCTGTGAGGGTTGGACGTTGCCTGCACTCTGCTCCAGCGTCTGCAAACTGCGATCGGCGGCCTGACCAGGTGGCGGGCAGCAGCCAGCCACATGCCCCGCTTTTCTGGTCCCCTGACACCCACACCTCAGCACTTGCACTCCTCCCACCCACACCTTAGCAATTACACCCCCATCCCACTTACCCACCGACCCACCAACCCACCCACCCACCCACCCGTGCAGAGCTGCCGGTAGTTCTCGGCGGCCCGCGGCGATATGTGGGTGAAGAGGACAATCTCGATCCTGTCGCCAGCGTAGGTGGGCCACGCACGCACGTGTGCCGCAGTGATGCAACGCTGAAGCCGCCCCAAGTATGCAGCGTGCGCGGGCGTAGCCGCAGTGACAAGCCGAAAAGACGCGCTATTGCCATCGCAAGCAAGCCGCTCAGCATGCAGCAGACGCGTCAACAGCAGCCGCCAGCCCCGAGATTGACGACCCCAAGCGTGCACCCGAGGCCACCTGCACCCGCTCACCTGCCAACGTATTTGCCCTTGATTCCCACATCCAGGTATACCAGGGGCAGGCTGGCGTTGGCCCGCAACCTCAGCCGGCGCTCATAATCGGCGGCCACCTGCACGGGGCAATTACCCAAGTTGTATTTGAGCAGATCGCACTTTGCGGAGGCTCCACGTGAACGGCAACCCGCATTTTTGCCAGATGAGGGCGTGCAGTGCGACCCCACACGAGGCTCGGGCTTGGGAAACATGCTGCAGCATTGGGGGGCTGGTGACTACGCAGGTGGCCGCCCATGATTGTGTGCCCACCTGGCGCAGCGCCTCCTCATTCGTGAATCGCGCGCCGCTGGTCCACTTCACGCCTTGGGATTGTGGCGTGATGGGGGGGCGTAAATTATCGTGCTGTGTTGTGATGCAGTGAAGTGCGATGCAATGCAGTGCGGTGTGGTGTAATGTGATGTGATGTAACGGGCGGTTGAGACAGAAGAGGGATATATTGAGGACTACGGGACGTTGGCGCAGCGAATCAGGGTCCATGGGTCGGTGCTGCTTGCTCACCAGGCGAGCCATCCTCTGCTGCGACAGCGACCGGATGCACACAACTGCTGCCGGGACCACCCCGCCATCCCCCCACGCTTGCATTCCCCTGCCAGGGCCCAGTCATCCTGCCATCCCTCCCCCACAGGAAACGCACTTGGCCCCCGGATACCGGTGATGTGCGCCGGATTGAAGCTCTTCTGCTGCTTCAGCCAGCACTCCTTGTGCTTACGCCCGTCCTCGCAGCCGCCGGGGTCGGCGCACCACACCCAGACGTTGCACTTCATGTAGTTCGAGCACGCGGCGCAGCACTCTGCGGCGGTGTCCTGCGGCCAGCGGCGGCGACCACGAATTGAGCCGCAGCGCGGCGCGTGTCGGGCCCATATCGCTGAGCCAGCACGCTACTCGACCCCAGTGGCTCCCTGCCGCTCTCCGTCCCTGCCGCCACCCTGGGCGCCGCGCCGCGATGGCCCCGATTTGTGTGTGTCACCTGTTACTATTATTGCTCACCTTCAGGTGCCCCTCGCCCCACTTGACGACGAAATCGCCGCCGAATTCGGCGTGTTCCTCAGTGTGGCAGGGGTCCTCCGGGCCGAGGCCCTCCTGGGCCTCCCGCAGCGCCGCCTGCCGCAGCGCCCGGTCTTCGAGGGCCTCAGTGATGCTGGTGTCCTTGTGCCGCAGGCCTGCGCGCGGGCGCGGCGGGGCCGGTTGTTTTTTGGGGGGGAAGAGAGCAGCCTCGCGGGCGCAGCTCGCCATGCGTGCGTGCAGGTGAGCTGGGGCGCGTGTGCATGGGCGTGGGCGCGGTGGCAGGGGTGCGGCGCAGCGCATGCGGCCGGGGTATCGCCGCGCAGCTGGCGGCAGCTCACCGAGCTCGTCGACTGCCGGGGCGTGCAGCTGCGAGTGGAGGCCGAGGGCAGAGCCCCACATGAAGCCGCTGAGGGACGACAGGAATGCAACTGCAAAGATGACCACCAGGGACGCGTCAGCCGCCGCCCAAGCCGCCCTGCCGCGCCGCAAGAGGCCCCGTGGGGCGGGGCTGGAGCCGTTGACGCCTGAGAGGGCCGCCATGGCGCGCCGCGCCGGGCGGGGCGGCAACCGCCGCGCGCGGGCTGGTACTGCTGCTCAGCGCGTGGCGTCTCGTCTCTGCGCCGCAAGCCAAGCGCGCCCAACGGACGCGGTACCCATGCAGAAGAATAATTTATACTGTTACATCAACAGTGCTTTATTTGACATTCATGTATTAGAGCAAGCGAGGCTTCAGATCAATGGGACAGCTCTGTTGTTGCCTAAGGGGCTGCAGAATTTACTTTGTTTAGTTATAAGTCCCCAGAATGTCTGCATAATGAACCTCCAGTCGCGCCTGATCGCCCCTGTGTCACCGCTGCACACACCCGCGGTCAAACATCGACTTTGTGTTTTGCGCGTAGAGCAGGTTCCGACCGCTTTCACGGCCGATTACCTTTTTGCAAAGTTTGTTTGTTCACCTCTCTGCTGCATCGTCAAACCTGGTGAAGGAGTTCAAGGGCACATCAAATAACAAAAAACACCGATATGGACCCCGAGGACGATGAATTTTTAGCGGGGCTAGCTCCTCCAGGCGTGCAGACGCTGAGGCGCTCGCCGTCAGGTGCGTGCGGCAGGCAGCTGGGTTCGAGCGCGGGCTCATTGCGCATTGCTGCACCGTATCGGGCGGGTGCCGTGCCTGCGGCATCTGACACCCCCACCACGCACGCCCTCCAGACCCATTCACGCGCTGTGGTGCATCACACGCTATCCAGGGGCCTCCACGGCGGCCTCGGCGGCGTCTATGCTGTCCAGCACTCCCGCCTCCGCCTCCACCAGCGCTTTACCGCCGCGGCCGGCGACGAGCAGCCGCAAGGCGACGACTGACGCAGTCGGCACCCTCATGGACTTCCTGAGGCAGGAGGAAGACCTGGCATTCCCAGCAGTGGGGCCGGCGGCGGCGCCGCCATCCAAAGGCGCGCCCCAGACCCAGCGGGGAGAGCGCGCCGAGACCTTGCACGCGGACTCTGGCCGAGGCGCGGCAGCCGGCGCAGCGCCACCAGAGGTCCCTCCGGCGCGCGCGCCGCCGCAGCAGCCGCCGCTGCAGCAAGCGCCGTTGGCGACCATCCGTCCGTCGTCCTCGCCTGCATCTGTCTCGGCCGGCGCGCCCCAAGCGCCGGTCGCGGGCCGCAGGCGCGCCGACACCGGGGCCGCGCCCGCCGCCGCGCCCGCCGCCGCGCCCGCCGCCGCTCAGTCACAGCCGCAGCCAGCGGCCTCAGCTGGAAGCGCCGCGCACGAGAGCGGCGGCGCGGCCAGGGCGGGCAGCAGTAGCTGGGACCTGCACGAACTGCTGCCCGGGTTGGGCGCCTCTGGGGGCGGCAAAGCGGGCGCGGCTGGCGCAGGCGTCGAGCAGCAGCGCTCGGGCGCAGAATCAACGTCTCCAGGCAGCCCAGGGAGCGATGCAGGGGCCGGAGGGGGCAGCTACGTGCCGTCCTTCATGCAGAGTGGCAGCAGCGGCGGCGGCGGCGGCAGCAGCAGCGTGGGAGTTGGCCCCCAGCCAGAGGACGACGAGAAGCGGCGGGCGGCGGCGGCTATGGCTGCAGGGCTTGCGAGGCGGGTGCATTTCGAGCAGCAGCAGCAGCAGCAGCAGCAGCAGCAGCAGCCGGCCCGCCCAGCAACCTCACCCGCGGCTCAGCCACAAGCGTCTTACGGGCTCCAAGCGCCCGGCCGGCCGCAGTCGGCGGGCGTTGTCGGCGGCAGCGCGGCTGCGGTTGACCCTTCGGGCCTGCTGCGGCGGATCACAGGAGGAGCCGAGACGCCTGCAGCTTCCGCCGCCGCGGGCATGGCTGCGCTGGCCGGCCTCTTAGGGTCGCCGCAGCAGCCGCCGGCGCAGCAGCCGCAGCAGCAGCCGCAGCTGGCCCATGCGGACGGGCCCGCGCCGGGCGGCGCCTCCGGCAGCGGTGGCGGCGGCTTTGGGGGCGTGTTGGCCAGGACATTGGCTGACCTTGGTATTCAGGAAGGCAGCGGAAGCAGTGCGAGTAGCAGCTCGAAGCGGCCGTTGCAGCAGCAGCAGCAACAGCAGCAGCAGCAGCTGTCTTCAGGGGCGCCAAGCATCATCACGCGGCTTGCACCTCTGCCGGCGGGCGGCGGGTTGGCTGGGCCCGCGGCTGCGCAGGCAGGTGGGTCGGCGGTGGAGCGGCAGCAGGCGGGCAAGGCAAGTGCTGGTGATGAAACCATGCGCAGCCGGCAATGGCAGCAGCAGCAGCAGCAGCCACAGCAGCAGCCGCAGCAGCCACAGCAGCCGCAGCAGCAGCAGCCACAGCAGCTACAGCAGCTACAGCAGCAGCAGCAGCAGCAACAGCAGCAGCAGCAGCAGCAGCAGCAGCAGCAGCAACAGCGGCAGCAAGAACAGCAGCAGGCAAACAGCAGCACCACCATGCAGTTCCCTTCTTCCCAGGTAGGCGAGGCTCCGCTGACTCGGATGGTCTTACCCAGCTGCATGATTACTCCACTGCTTCCCGACGCAAGATTTGCACTACATCCCACGCACCCCCACCCCGTCGCAGGCCATGCAGTCCCTGGCGTCTGTGGAGGCGCAGGCCGTGGCAATCGGCGAGGCGGCCGCGCTGCGGCGAGAGATGGAGCAGCTGCGGGCCGCAGAGGCGCGTGCGCGGCGAATGCTGGAGGAGCGCGAGGCGGCGTGAGCGTCAGGGGGCCGGGCGGAGCGACGGGGCAACCTTTGCCGCGCTGGCTCCGCGCTCGGGCTGAAAAGCTGCGCTGGGATGCACGCCGCGCTCATAGCTTGGGCTTGCAGGGACGAGGATGACGCGATAATTGGTGTCAAAATATTCAGGATTGGCAGCATCTCAGCCTTATAAATAAGCACGTTTGTGCCCGCTGGTGTTTTCACCAGTCGCACTCGGCTCCCCGGCCCCCGGCTCGCAGGCACCAAGGGGAGGTGGCGCGCCTGAAGGCCGACGCCGAGGCGCAGCGGCGCGCGGCGGAGGACGCGTTGCTCAGGGCGGCGGACGCCAGCGCTAGGGAGGTCGAGGTGCGGTCCCCAGGGGCGCCGCCCGGCAGGCTGCAACCACACAGCGGAACCGGCCGGATGCTTGCATCCTTGCAGGACATTTGCCGTCAGTTGAACATTAGCAGTCGAGAAATAATGGGCACGGCTCGATGAAAGCAGTGCGCAGGGCCTTGAGAGTGCGCGCGTGCGCTCGCCGTCCGAGGCTGAGCGCGCCGCGCGCCTCCCGGGCTCCCTGCCGTGCGCGTGGCGCAGGCGGCCGCCCAGCGGGCGCGGAGGGAGGCTCTGCTGGAGCGCGACGTGGCGGTGGCGCAGGTAGGCCGTCCCAATAGGGCTTTCACCTCTTGAGAAATCCCGCAGTTTAGTTGTTCACGCACAGTTGCTTCAGGTGGGAAGGCGTGGGGTCACGCAGACGCCCTGGCGCGTCCAGCCGTGCTGTAGCATGCACACGTCTTGGTCCACCAGGTGGCTTAGGTTATTGCGTGGGATTGCGACACGCCGGCCTTCCGGCACCCCCCGCTGCGCACCACGCGCATCCGCGGCGCACCACGCAGGTCAAGGCGCAGGCGGCGGCGCTGGCGGCCGAGCGCGAGAGCCTGGCGGCGCAGCGGCTGCGGGCCGAGGATCTGGCGGGGCTGGCGGAGCAGGTGGGCTGGGCCTTGCCTTGTTCGATTGAGTATACAGGGAGAAATGTACGCATGTGAATACTCTGCCGCAGGCGTACAGTGTGTCATGGCAGCATCCCTACCGTACATGCTTGCCCTGTCCAATGTGTTTTCTGCTGCACACGCCGGGTTGCAGCTAACGTTTGCACACACACACGAATAAGACAAGTGCATTGCAACCTTGTGATGCAGCCAGCGCTCGAATGTCTGAACGAAAGAAACAAGGTGATGGCGTGTGACGCGCGCACGTGGCGCCGCGCCGCATGTGCCCCGCAGGTGCGCCAGGCGGCCAACGCCAACGGGGAGCGCGAGGCGCGTGCTCTCGCAGCGCTGGAGCGCGGCAGCGCGCAGCACGGCGCGGCGCTGGAGCAGCGGTTGAGGGCGCTGGGGGAGCGGGAGGGGGCGGTGGCGGCGCGGGAGAGGCAGCTGGAGGAGTTGAAGGTCAGGGGTCTGTTTTGGGGGGCGCAGGTTGCTGACCCTTGCTGCTGCTGCTGCTGCTGCTGCTGCTGCTGCTGATGTTGCTGATGCTGCTGCTGCTGCTGCTGCTGGTGCTGCTGCTGCCGCCGCCGCCGCTGTTGCTGCTAGTGTTGCGCAGCATCCTGGTTTCTGCATGCTGCGTGACACCCGGCCACCCTCTCTTGTGTTCGTCGCGGCACGCCAGTGGTTTTAGGGCCCTGATTGGACCTCCTGCAGGTGGTGGAATCAGTGGTGCAACAATCCTGCACCCGATCGGCCGCGGCACCTGGCATTCACAGGCACTTTCTCATAGTATACATGCAACGGCTCTCATGCAAAGCTGCTCGTCCCCCACAACACCCGCGCGCCAGGCCGAGCTCGCGCGGCTCGCCGCGGCCCTGGAGTCGCGCGCCGCCAACGACCGGGAGGCGCTGGGCGCGCAAGGCCTGAGGGTGGCGCGCGACACGGCGCGGCTGGAGGCGCTGCAGGTCTGACGGGGTTGGAGGAGCGCGCCCACAGCGGCAGCCTGCGGTTCAACGCGCTGTTGCTGCCCTGCACGGTCTGAGGTCGTGGGTTTGTTCCAGCGCTTCAAAACGGAACAGCGCGGCTTCATCTGTTGCTGACTATCAGCGACCAGCCCGCAGCAGCGCCTGAGGTGCATGTTGTGATGCGATCCATTTCCCTGTGTTGACCGGGTCAACCGTCTGCCCACACTTTGACCCCTCAGTCTGCCATCCTGGCGGAGCGCGAGGAGATGCGTGCCAGCGCGGTGGAGGAGCGCAAGGCGCTGGAGGAGGCGCGGGCGCAAAGATCCAGGGTGAGGGCTTCAGGGTTTAGGGGGGGCAGGGGCGCGGGCGCAGCGCTCTGGAGTAGGGGGCATGGACTTGCGGGACATGGTACAGCGGCAAACGCACTGCTACCATATGCACACTGGATTTGTGAGGCTTGCTGCTGCCAGCACAGCTGGTCACCCCTGGGGGCGCTCACCGATGCAAACAGCTGCACATGCATATACAGCACGGCACGGCGCACACAGCCCAAACGTGCTGACATCAGCGCGCTCGTGCCGCCCCCCGGTGTGGTTGCGACCTCAGGAGCGCGAGGCGTTCCTGTCTGAGGTGGCGGCCGAGCGCCGGCGGCTGGCGGAGGAGAATGCCGCCGCGGTGAGGCGACATGCGAGCCGGGCAGCTTCTTGGCAAAAGCTGCACCCAATCCCCATCGCTTGGGATTGATATGCTTCCGCAGTTTTCATGCAAGCAGTTGCTTCTGTCATCTGCCTTGCTTGTGTATCATGGTTGCATGTGGCACGTTGTAGCGATCAGCGTGTCAGCTTGGCGGCGGGAGAAGCACGCTTGCTCGAACGAATCCAATTGCGCCATGGAAACCAGGCCCGCGCCGCGGAGGAGGCGCGCTCCCACCTGCTGGATTTGAAGGGCCGCGTTGCCGACTACGAGGCCGCGGCGTCCGCTGCACTGCGGCAGGCGCGCGAGGAGGAGGGGCGCGCTGCGGCGGCCAGGGAGGGGGCGCAAAAGGAGCGGGAGGAGGTCGCGGCCGCGTGGCGGGCGCTCAAGGTGGGCGGCCGTGCGGTTGGGGGGGGGGTGCGCACGGGCGGTGGGGGCGTTGCGGCTCGAGCTGCGGCCTTTCGGCCCACCCCTCCGCTCATCGCTGCGTCGGTCAAAGGTCAGATTGCAATTTAAACAATGGTGCTTCCAAGGTACAGACCGCCGACACGTTTAAGGGACGAGTTTCACAATCAAGAAACTGCAATTTCTACTGTATTGGTGTTCAATTTAAAGAAATAACAACACCCACCACAGGACGCGCGCGCCAAGCACGAGGAGGAGAAGGAGCAGCTGCTGGAGTGGGGGGAGCGCCTCAGGGCCCTAACCTCGGACTTCGACCGCGCGCGCGTCGAGGTGCGGTCGGCCCGCCAGGAGATTGAGGCGCACAGGGGCGGCCTCGCGGCCGACGCCGCGGCGGTGGCGGCGGCGCGGGCGGCGGCGGAGGAGCGGGCGGAGGCGGTCGCGGCGGCGCGGGCGCTGCTCGACAGGTGGGGGCGGCCGCCGCACGCGGCGCCGTCGCACCAGGCGGCGTCTGAAGAAAGACCTGGAAACAATACCTTTTGCGCGCCGTGCGCCGGCCGGCTCTTGCTAGCAGCACGCGTCCTGCACCGCTGTGTGGTGTGCGCGACCCAAGCAGCTAGCTGGTGTTACCCGTGCACGACAATCCTGCTTTTGCGCCGCCCGGGCCGACCCGACCTCCGCAGGGAGCGCCTCGCCATCGCCCAGGAGAGGGCCGCGCTCTCCTCGGACCGCATCGCGGCCTCGCGCGCCCTGCAGCTCTCCGTGGCCCGCGACCAGGGGCCGGCGGCGCTTGACGCGGCCCGCCGCTCGCTGGACGCGCGTGGGTGTTTTGCATCTGCGGCCGCGGGCCTGCCGCACCCCCAGCTGCAGCAGCTCCTGGGGGACCACCTCCTACAGCCGCGCAGCGCGTCCGCGCCGTGCACGCCGCTCACCGGCGGCGCGAGCGCGGGGCGCGCCGGCCGCGTGGGCGCCGCGCGGGGC